CTACCCTAATACTGACAAAGGTCTCATGAGCTACAAATATCATCTTTCCATGCAGGAATGTAAACAGTTCAACCTTAATAAGTCTCTTATGATTTCTCTTTCCTGTTTACCTCTTCATGTTTCACTTGAGTCTTGTATTGGGAAGTCAAATTTTCTATTCAGCTCTGGTCTTTTCATCAAGAATGCTCGAAAGTCCTCTATTTCACTAAATGACCATTTTTCCCCCTGAAGAATTATACTCAGTTTTGCTGGGTAGGTGATTTTTGGTTGTAGTCCTATCTCCTTTGCCCTCTGGAATATTATATTCCATGCCCTGTGGTCACTTAATGTAGAAGCCGCTGAATCTTGTGTTATCCTGATTGTGTTTCCACATTACTTGAACTGTTTCTTTCTGACTGCTTATAATATTTTCTCCTTGACCTGGGAACTCTGGAATTTGGCTACAATATTCCTAGGAGTTTTCCTTTGGGGATCTCTTTCAGGAGGAGATCGGTGGATTCTTTCAATTTCTAATTTGCCCTCTGGTTCTAAAATATCAGGGCAGTTTTCCTTGATAATTTCTTGAAAGATGATATCTAGGCTCTTTTTTTGATCATGGCTTTCAGATAGTCCAATAATTTTTAAATTCTCTCTCCTGGATCTATTTTCCAGGTCAGTTGTTTTTCCAATGAGATATTTCACATTGTTTTCTAATTTTTCATTCTTTTGAATTTGTTTTACAGTGTCTTAATTTCTCATAAAGTCACTAGCTTCCAATTGCTCTATTCTAATTTTTAAGGAAGTATTTTCTTCAGTAATCTTTTGGACTTCCTTTTCCATTTGGCCAATTTTGCTCTTTAAGGCATTTTTCTCTTCATTGGCTTTTTGGACCTCTTTTGCCATTTGGGTGAGGCTATTTTTTAAGGCGTTATTTTCTTCAGTATTTTTTTGGGTCTCCTTTAGCAAGCTGTTGACTTGTTTTTCATGATTTTCTTGCATCACTCTCATTTCTCTTCCCAGTTTTTCCTCTACTTCTCTGACTTGCTTCTCAAAATCCCTTTGAGCTCTTGCAAGGCCTGGGACTGATTCATATTCTTCTTGGAGGCTTTGGATGTAGGAGCTTTGGCTTCGTTGTCTTCTTCTGGTTGTATGTTTTGATCTTCTTTGTCACCAAAGTAAGATAATATAGTCTGACTCTTTTTGCGCTGCTTGCTCATGATCCCGGCCAATTACTTGAGTTTTAAACTCTTTGTTAAGGTAAAAGTCTGTTTCCAATGTGGAGAATGTACTGTCCCAAGCTTTGGGGGTTTGTACAGCTGTTTTCAGAGATACTTCTAGGGACTTGAAAAGTGTCAGTTCTTCCAAGGTGCTATGATAAGGGGCAAGGTGTTTCCTCTCCACCACCACAACAAGCTCCACTGGGCCAGCACTCTTCCTCACCCCAGGACCACCCCTCAGAACTGTGACCCAGATCCAAACACTGGTAAAGCAAGAGATTCCTACCTCAGCCCTGGCAAAGAGATCCCTGCAATCCCCCTCTGATCAGCCACTCGATTCCCCCTCAGTCTGTGGGCTGGAAGCTCAGAAGCCAGCCACTGCCCTCGAGGCAGCTGAGATCTAGTTTCTTCTCTCACCGCAGTAACAGACTTTTCCCACTGACCTTCTAAGTTGTCTGTGGCGTTCGTGGGTTGAGAAGTCTGGAAATCACCACAGCTGCCCGCGCTTCAGTTCTCTGAGGCCTGCTCCAGGGTCGCTGCGGCTGGCGCACCCATGCCAAACTGTGCTCCTCTCCCTACCCGGCAAGATATACCTTTCTGATCAGCCATCCAGGTTGTCTTGGGCTGGAAATTTGTTTTACTCTGTTTTTTTGTGGGTTCTGCTGCTTTAGAATTTGTTTAGAGCCATTTTATACAAGTATTTGGAGGGGTTTG